CTCAAACTATGGCCCGTGGGCCACATGTGGCCCACCTAGAACATTTATCCGGCCCGCTAGGTGTTTTTGCCACCACTGTCTTTCCTGCTTAGCAGCCAGTTCGTCCCGGGGCCCACAGTCTGGCCCTCCAATGGTCTGAGGGACAGTGAATTAGCCCCCTATTTAAAAAGTTTGAGGACCCCTGTCCCAGAGTTTCAAGGATCTGCTGCATTTCCCCTTCTCATGTGGGTATTTCCCAACTGCATGGGCAATATCCAACCAAAAGGAACTAATCCACAACTCCCGGAGCTGGACAGACTCTCAGGCTGCTGCTATGGCCTCAGCTCCCTCAGCCAGTGGTTTAGCCAGGCCAAGCTTAGCAAGGCCCCTGAATTAGAGCTCCCTCCATCAGGGGACAGATCTAGCTGTTAGAAGTCAGCATTCACGTGCAGCCTGTATCTCCCTGCCAGGCCTCCCAGACCTGGGCCTCACTCAGGTCGGGGGACCCACAGACCCCATCTCTGTCTCTGGCCTTTGTATTTCTTGAGCAGGCAACAGCTTCCATACCTTTTTTCTACCCATGCTTGCAGTGCCCAGTGGGCAACTGCCCTGTGCCAGTAGCAAGGCCTATGGAGGCAGGGCCTGGCCAGGCTGTGGGGAGGAGCTTCCAAGTCCCCAGGCTGAGGACCTGGGCCCTGAGTGTGGGACCCCCTTTCTGGCAGTGCTGCCGCTGAGCTGAGCTCCTGACGGACGAGGGGGCACTGGGCAGGGAGCCCACTGTCTCCTCCTCATGACTTCCCTTCCTTCTCATCCCAGGAACCTCCTTGCCAGCCAATGTACTAAAACTCCGGAAAACCATGGCGGGGAGGTTTTCCAATTAGAACATTCTTTTTCCAATCTGTGGATGATTCTTAAAGCAGCAAAAAACCATTCTTCAGGGCATGTGGGGATTATCTGCCAGCGAGGCCTTGGCTACACTGGTGCACTCGTGCTCTGGGGGCCTGGCCTGTGCTGCTTCATAGCCAGAGATGAAAGGCAGAGTCTGTGTTCTGAGGCATCAGGTCACAAAGAGCTAGGCTGATAGCTGAGTGCTTCCTGGGCTTATCCGCAGCTGTGGACTCCAAGGGCAGTGGCAGCACAGGCTGCAAGAGGAGATAGATGGACAACCACCCCTCTGAGGAGACGCATGATTCCTCTACTTTCCTAGCTTTAAGATAAGCCATGACCACTGTAGGGCCGCAGTCCACTGAACAATCAACCCCTAAGCACCAATGCAGTCCCTTGTATCCTTGTAGGGGAACTGGGCTGCCTTCCCCAGCAGACTGGGAGCTGCTCTAGGCTGGGATTGGATCTGACTGGTCTCTGGGCAGGGTGGAAGTGACAGTGCATGGGGGCTTTAGACAAGTGAGGGTATGTGTGTGTGTGTGTCAGGGAAGGGGGACCACAGCCCCTTTGCTGGGAATATGGGCCGAGGGTGGGGTGGGGAGCCCCACAGGCCAGACCTGGTGGACTAGGTGGGGTACATTCATATGCTGAGGGGTGTGGCCTGTTCCTAGCAGGGGAGCTGGTTTCAGAGGCCTGGCCTCACAAGTTCAGGGCTATAAAGGGCCTATCCTGTGTGCAGCCACACCTGGAGACCCCTGCCCCCAGGGGACCCACCCTGCTTGGAATTAGCAGTCAAACCAGCAACTGTAAACTGGTTGAGGAGCTTAGGAGGATGAGGCAGCAGGGCGGGCCGCTGAAAGGAGGGAGGAAAGAGGAGATGAGGGTGCAAGCAGGAGCCCAGCCCTCCCCACACATGAACCTGAGCACCCCGGCTTCTATCCAGCTGGGTGGGGCTCCATCCAGAGCAACTGGGCCCCAGGATTTTGGCCCAACTCTGTCTCAGACTAGCTGCATGATGCTGGCTAGATCCTGTCCCTACTCAGGTCTCTATTTCCCTATTCTTACAACTGCAGGGCTGGGATTGGCTGCTCTTCTCCTGTGGGAATATTGCCTAGGTCATCTGCCTCCGCCTTGGAGACTTTTCAGCTGGAACAGCTTGCCCAAGTCTGTTCCCAGCCCTGGCCCCCAGAAGCATGGCGGGCCCGTCTTTCCCAGCAGTATCCTGCCATCCTATCCATCTGCTTGCTTCCATGCAGCCTCCCTAAGACTGTCTCCCTCACTTGCACATGGGCTATGCCTCTTCTCAGCAGAGTCCTCACCACTGCTACTCCCTGACTCTGCCCTCCAGGCCTCTCACCTGCTCAGGCAGCCCAGCCAGGCCATCTCACTCAGAGTCAGCACATGTGCCCTCAGAGCAGGGTCTTGCTGTGGCCTGCTTGTGGGTGAGGAGGGAGGACTGCCCTGTCCTCTGGAGATGGTAGTGCTGCCAAACTCGGGGGAGGGCTTCAGAAGAACTCCACCAGGGCCAAAGGGGTGGCTGGTTTCAGAGCTGAATATGGAGGCTGAGGCACAAGAGATGTGAGTGGGGAGGGACAGGGCCAAGCTCAGGCCATGCTGGGATAGAGCCAGTGTAGAGGCAGCCTTCGCCTAGAACTTGAGGGGGCTCTGAGAGACGGTTCATGTTGCAGCTGTGAGAGGGAGGTCACCTGGTATCCCTGGGTAAGAAATGACATTCCAGACATGGGGACATTTTGTGTAGGGTCTTGGTGATACTGTCATACCTGGTATATCTGGGTCCATGTCATTTGGACACGCCTAGTGCCTGAGGAGGCTGAAGAAGTCAGTAGGGGCCTGGAAGTTTGGCTGAGATGACTAAGGTGGCCTTGGCAAGGGGTGGGGGGTGGGAAGCATTATTGAAAGACTCTGTTAAGGCAGAGGACAGGTGGGCAGGGCAGGGCAGGGCAGTTACTATTCGAGTCAAACCCGTTTGCAGGCAAGATCAGCTGCAGGGCCTGGCAGCCTGGCTGGGAGGGAGGAGTTGAGGGCTACCTAGTCTCCTTGGCTGGAGTCATCATCACAGATCTGGCCTGGGAAGGGGCTGAGTCACCTGGGACATGAGAAGAGCTTGGGGCCCAGGGACAGCCCAGCTGGGGGCAGCCCTCACTGGCTGGCCTTGCCCTTAGACATGATGCTTGCTCATGCTCTCCAACTGGTCTACCCTGACTCAGGGCTCTGGAGCAAGCTTATTCTTCCTTACTTCCTGCCCTCTATGTCTGATCCACACTACATCCTGTACGCTCTACCTCTATGAGCTAGGGGCTCCTGAACAGGACAGGGGCCCAGAGAGGGAGTGTGACATGCTCTAGGTCAAATAGTGAGTGTGTTTAGAAGTTAGGCTGCCAAGGCAAATCCATAGCCATTAGTTGCCACGGTGGTTGGAAAGGAGACATTAGATGCTGGCCACCAGACTGAAGCATATGGTATGGAAGCAGAAAAATGTTTGTTGGCAAGAGACGAATATGAACCGAAGTGACTTTATGTACAAGCCCCCCCCCACACACACATGCAGTCGCCTCCTCCCTACCTGATGAACCCTGGGAAGACAAGGATGAGGGCAGCTGCCAGTCTCAGTCAACCCTCCAACCCTGCCTTCTGCAAAATCTTCAGATCCTCTGTGCTCATTCCCTTGACCAGCAATGAGTCTTTCTGGAGTTCACAGTGTAGAGCAATACAAGGTGACAGCTACTTGGTATCCTGTGGAGGAACCAGGGGACTGTCCAGAAGGAAGTGATCTGCTTGACTGGGTGGCAGGCAAGGAGAGGCTCTACGGGCACTTGAATGAAGTCTTAGAGAATGATTAAGTGTCTGCTAGTCCCACAGGGGCATGAAGGGCATTCACCCCAAGGTGACAGACAGCACACGTGATGCATTCAGAAGACAGAAGGTGGCCTTGAAGGGACAGAGCCAGAGTGGCTAGACCCAGAGAGAGGAGTTTGGCTTTTACCCCAAGTCAAAGGAAAGGCATGAAAGACTTATGTCACATGTAAACTATCAATCTGACTTCTGTGAGGAAGCTGAGAGGAGGGAAGGCAGGAGCAAAGGTGGGGATACCAGCAAAGAGGCTAGTCTTGCAGGCAGGGGCTGGACTAGGGCGGCGGCAGTGGGCACGGATTGAAAGGGGAGGATGGGAGGCCTGTGAGAATGGAGACCAGGTAGGCCCTGGTGAAGGAGAACCTGCAGTCCATTCTTTTGAGCCTATCATCCTCCCACTCCAACTCCTGGCCAACTCCACATCATTTCTGGGGTTGGATAACCGACCCGTGCTCCCTCCACCTTAGCCCCAGGTCAGGGCTTGCACAGAGCGAATACTCAGCACGAAGGAGAGCAAACGTGCATTCAACTGCATTTGCTGGGACTGTCTGGCTGTGTCTCCCTACTCGCCCTGTGGGGTGGCCCGGTTTGCTGTGCCTCAGGCGACTCAGGTCTTCTGAGGATGGCCTTCCAGGGTGAGCGGCTGCCTCGCTTTCTTCTCCTCCTTCTCTGGCTCGGGGACTTCCTGTATGATCTCAGCCTCCAGCCCTCCGCCCCTCCCTCCCTGTCTGGAATCTCCATCTGTAAAATGGATCTAGGAATGGTAGTTCTCCGCAGAATTAACCCGACAGCATCTGTGCAAGTCGTTGGCCCAGGGCCGGGGCCGGGGCCGGGGCGGAACGCGCCAACTAGGCAGTAGGGCCCTTCACGTGGCGGAGACTGCCCGGCCCGGGGCTGCGAGCCTGGAAGAATTGGCCTGGAAGTTTTCCTCGCCCGCTAGGCCAGGGCTGCCAGGGTCTTGATTTCTCCCGCAGCCCCGCGGGCGGGGCCGGGAGGGGGCAGGCGGGCGAGGACACTGGCGGGAGAATGTGCGGAATGTGCCAGGCGCATCTACCTACCCCAGGAGAGGGCAGGGGAAGGGGCCGGCCGAGGGGAGGGGCGAGGGGCGAGGCTCCGGGAGGCCGGAGAAAACCTGTTTGTTCTCCCGCGGGCGGAGCTCAGTCCGCGCCGCCTAGCCTCCCTGCCTGCTCCCCCTGCACCCGCGCCCCGCGCTCGCCTCCCCGGCCTGGCCTGGCCTGGCCGGGCGCTATCCACCCGAGGGAGCCCGCGCCCCGCGCCCGCCAGACCCTCCGCCTGCCCCACAAGCCGGGCACCTGTGCCAGGTAGGGCTGTCGAGTCGCCATCGGAAGCGCCCCAGCGGGGAGGCAGCAGGAGACACCCGACCCGTGTACAGCTGGGGACAAGTCAGGGCCTCAGTTTCCCCATCCGTAATCCTCACCCACTCTAAGCATCCCTCCCGTAGGGCTTGTGGGGAGCTAGTGTTCCTGGCTTTCTGGTTTTCACTTTGAGTGAAGAGACAAACGAGAGGCAGAGGACGCCAGCGTGCCCGACCCAGGCAAGTGGCCCCCTTGCTGGCCTGGTCCCTCTCTGGTGGCCACTTCTGGAAGAGATGGTTTGATTGTTAGTAAATGGCCTGGGACCAGGGTACTCTGAGAGTTGAGCAGGCCTGTAAGAATCAGAGGATCTCAGATTCCTCAGTTCCCCTTGTTCATTTTATAGATGAGGAAACCCAGACAAGACCTACAGCCTGGCCCTCACCTGGAGGACCCCCTCACTTGCCCTAGGGCCTGGGGAAGGGGGCTGGCTGGTGGCCTGTAATGGGCATGTGCTGGGCACAAGGGATCTCTGGGAGGGCGCTGGGGAAGGTAGCTAGCTGTTCATGCTCTGACAGAAGGCGCAGAATCAGGTGTTGCTGGGTGTTTATCCAGCAATCTGTAGTGCACTGACTCTGTGGCCGGATTGTTTTGATGGGGGCAGGGAAAGCCAAGAGCTGTCCTCTTTGGAAAGGCAGAGGGATACTCTGCCTTAGGAAAAGGATCCGGTCCTCATGTCTGCTCTGCTGCTTCTGAGCTGGCAGTACCTAGGCATTTCCATCAGTCCAGAGGAGTAACAGGCCAGGCCACCTCCCAGTCAGGACTGTGGGGGGTTCAGATAAGACAGATGGTGGCTGTGCTAGGGCTTTAGAACATTCGATGTGCCAAAGGAGTCGTGTTTTCACCGAGCCATTTGCACTTTGCCTTGACATGTGGCAGGCTGTGCAGCAATAATCGCAGGACCAAAGCTGGCAGAGGGTAAGGTGCTCTGCTCGCCGCACTCCACAAACTCTGAAAGGGAGTCTTTTGCACTTCACCCAGCAGTGGCCCAGGCCTCTGGCACCAGGACTAATATTAACCTTGGTCTCCTGGCCCTTCCCATATCTGGTCATGGCACCTAGCTGGGGGCAGGAAGCCGGGTCTCACAGGTTGACAGACTTGAAGAGTGGGGAGAAGGTTCTGGGTCACAGGGCCCCAGCTCTGTTCCTTCTCACTCCTCTCAGTGCAGGAAAGCTGCAGAGGGAGCCTGGGGGAGGTCTCACCCTCTTGAAGCCTCCACTACTCCATCTGAAAAACCAGAGGCAGCTCAGAGGTCAGCAAGTGGCCAAGACACAGATGCACAGACCAGGGGCCAGCTTCTGGGCAGGCCTTGGTGCTTGTGCTGTCCCCTTATTGCCTACAGGCCATTCCAGGATGGGAAGGAGCAGATCCCACTCATCTTCCCCTCCCACTCCTTCCAGCAATTCCCAGGCCCTGGTATATAGCAGGTGCTCAAGATCTGTTTATCTTCATCCTCTCAACACTCAGGAGTCAGCAAAAGAGGTGGCCTAGGACCACATAAGGGTGTGAGTCTCTGAGTAGCATGAAAACATTAGGGGCCCCCTGCTCCAGGACCAGGAAAGCACCCTTGGCTGGGAATGTCAGAGAAGGCTTTCTGGAGGAGGGGTACTTGGAGGCAGGAGGAGCAGCTCAGCAGCTACCAGGTCAAGACTTGTTCATCTTTTGGGGCTGCTTGAGTGTAAATGCCCTGTATTCCTGACAGACCAGCTCCAGCTCTTCCTGGCCTCCCATATGGAGACCTAAAAGGCAGTTGACCTCACATCTTGCCCCAAGGAGTAACCGTCTATCTGGGGAGGCAGAGAGGCCAGTAAGGAGCTGCCAAGTGAATGGAAATGGCAGTAATGATTGTCCACCTCACTTCCTGCTCAACTGAATTCCAAACTCCAGAGAAGGCCCTCCTTATGTCCTGGGGCCACCACTACCCTACCTCAGCATCCCCCAACCTTCCTTGTGCTCCTTGCCTTTCTGACCAGCATCCCCACAGCTTCCTGAGCTCAGAGCCTGGGACCTGTCCACAGTAGGCATTGGCACCTATTCCCTGAACTATCCTCAGTTGTGTGCCAAGAAAATGCCCCCAATTCTGGCTCAGTGAATTCTGGGAGCCAAGAGTCCACCTTCGTCCTCCCCACTCAAGCTTTCACAGGTGCCTGATCACTTTTGTCTGGATCTTACTTTAAACCACAGCCCAAAAGGTCACATGTAACCCAAACTCTTCTGCTTGCTGAGCCCTGAGGCTGCCAGTCCTCTGGTAGCATGGGACAGGACCAGCACTGGAAAACAGAACTACTTCCCACTGTTCTGGAGTTCTTAGCAGCAACCTGCAAGGCATGCTAGGCCTTTGGCCACCATGTTTGGGACCATATCAGGGGCTTTGCATTTGTTCCCAGTGTGCAGGAAAAGAGCTGGCAGATGCTAGGACAAGGGCAGTGTAGTGGGGGAACCTGTCTGCCTAAGGACACTCAGGAGAGATTGTCATCATTGCTTCTGAGGGCTGGGGAGCTAGCCAGGGCCTTGTGATGTGGAGCAGGGGGATAAACTGTCCACTGTCTCATGCCCTGTAGGGTACGTTACAGGTGAGGGTGGCATCTTTACAGCTTGGTGGTTAAGAGGATATCTCAGAGGTCAGGCTGGGTTTAAACTCCAGCTTGGCCATCATCCAGTTGTGCAAATGTGAATATATCCCACAACCTCTGGTGGCCTTGGTTTTCTTACCTGTATGGAACGACAGCTGCAGCTAGAGCACCTGCTGTATAGGCACAAATAGGTGGGTGCCTATTTGTGGTACTCCTTTTTTTTGAGTCAGAGTCTCACTTTGTTGCCCTTGGTAGAGTGCGATGCCACCCTTCCTGATAGAGTGCCACCTCTGAGGCCCTTCCCAGCTCTGTCATAGCTCACAGCAACCTCAAACTCTTGGGCTCAAGCAATTCTCTTGCCTCAACCTCCCAAGTAGCTAGGACTACAGACACCACCTGGCACAATGCCTGGCTATTTTTAGAGGCAGAGTCTCACTCTGGCTCAGGCTGGTCTCAAACTGTGAGCTCAGGCAATCCACCCACCTTGGCTTCTCAGAGTGCTAGGATTATAGGTGTGAGCCACTGTGCCCGGCCCCCTCCCCCAACTTTTTTGTTTTTGAGGTAGTTTTAATCTGTTGCCCTGGGTAGAATGCTATGACATCATAGCTCACAGTAATATCAAACTCCTGGGCTCAAGCAATCCTTTGCCTCAACTTCCCTAGTAGCTGGGACTAGAGGCTTCTACCATAACTCCTGTCTAGTTTTTCTATTTTTAGTACAGACAGAGGTCTCACTCTTACATGGGCTGGTCTCGAACTCCTGAGCTCAAGCAATCTACCTGCCTCGGCCTCCTGGAATGCTCAGATTACAGGCATGAGCCACTGCACCTGGCCTCAGAGGTGGCACACTATCAGGAAGGGTAGCAAAGCCGGGACCACAGTGCCCTCTTTTAGGGCTACAGTGGCAAGGGGTGAGGTGGGGAGAGAGAAGCTAGCCAGGACATACCCCCCTGACCTGAAGAAAGTGGTTTGCAAATCACTGCTGCTCTGTACTGGTGATATGTACAGTGTCTACCCATAGTTCAATTATGGGCTAAAGATAACTTAAATCTCAGGGTGATTTCTGATGCCTGCTTCAAATGTCTGATTTGCTTTCTTTTTTGTTTTCACTTTTTTAAAATTTAGAGATAGGGTCTTGCTATGTCACTCAGGCTAGAGTACAGCAATTATTCAACTCCTGGGCTCAAGCAACACTCCCACTGGAGCCTCCTAAGTAGCTGGGACTACCAAGCCTGTCTCTGTTCTCATTTTTTATCTTTAATTTTTCATCTTTTTTTTTTTTTTTTTGGCCGGGGCTGGGTTTGAACCCGCCACTTCCAGCATATGGGGCCAGCGCCCTACTCCTTTTGAGTCGCAGGTGCTGCCCCTAATTTTTCATCTTGAATTAATTTAAAACTGACAGAAAAGTTGTAAGAATTGTGCAGATAATTCTCAAAGCCTTACCTGAATTCCCGCTGTTAATGATTTGACACATTTCTCATGAGTTTTCTTACTCATGGCCATGGAGAGTCAAGGGGTGGGCAGACATGGTGTCAGTTCATTTTTCCAAAGGGAAACTGAGGCATAGAGAGGGACTTGCTCAAGTGCCATTTGAGAATTAGGAACAGAGGCAGGTTAGCTTCTCAAGGACACACCCCAAAGCATTTGGTGGTATCCTCTGCTTGCTCTCCGGGTTGGGTGCTGGAGTACAGGATGGCAGGGAGCTTAGAGGGCGTGGGCAGGGAAGCAGGAGGGGTGGGTCTGGGTGTCATTCTCTGTGTCTAATGCACAGACTCAGACTTGGAGGTGAGGAGGCAGGAAGGAATCTGCAGCTTAAGCATATGTCCCAGCAGATTTGGCTGCCAGAATGACCCAGAGGCCACTTTCAGAAACACTGTCTAGGCTTTTCCCGTGGGGAGCATGTGCACTTCTCATTTCAAGAGGGAGCCAGGAACTGGGGAGGCACTTTCCTTGGTCAGGGACGTGGGCCCAGGCCCACTGAGGGAGAAGTCCCTCAGCTTCCCCACTAACACAGCTGAGTCCCTTGTGTCAGAGCTGCCCTTGGGCTTTCCCTGGGCAGTGAGGTGGCTGAGCAGACCCACCCCTCCTGGAGGTCTGGAGGCACCCCCTGGGCCAGAGATGAGACCTCAGTGTGGGCAGGCCCACCAGTGGTTGCTGGTGGTGGTCCTCAGGCTCAGCCCCATCTGTGGGCACAGCTCTGGTATTCAGTCCGGTCCCCTTGGTCTGGTGCCTGTGATTATTTGCTTAGCATGCCACTTTCTGATGACTAGGTCAGTTTCCCAGTTTCTATGGCAAGCATAGGTGCAAGGATTTTAGTCATAAGAATGTGCATCTCAAGTGAAAATGCTTACATTCAGGTAATGCCTGCTTAGGCTAA